GGCGGTTGTTACCAAGCTGGGGGTAGGAGTCTGGGTTGTTTCTGAGGTGGGTGGGGAGCCAGAGGTGGGTGTGAGAAAAATGGCGGTGCTAGGTGTGCCTGTCATAGTGGTGGGACGTGTCACCTCAGTTGTGAATGTCGTGACAGAAATCGTGGGAGAATGAGGGTAGGTGGTCTCAGATGTTGGGGAGGACCTGGGGTGGGTGCTCGGGAGTGTGGTCGCCAAGGCTGACACAGGGATGGTGTGTATGGTAGCACTGGTGGCCGGTTCTGTACTTGGGACCGCTGTAGACGATGGAATCTCACTGGTGGGGTATGTGACAGTGTGGGTGTTTGTGTGTGAAAACATGGTGGTTTTCCTTGAAGTCACTTGATCGGTGGGAGTGATGGAAGAAGTGATGTGGGGAGGAGAAGAAATTTCTGTGGTGAGAGATGCTGTGAAGAATTCAGTGGTAGGAGTCAGTGTGGTTTTCTCAGGGGACGTGGCACCTGGGCTGGTGAAGGTCGTCTGGCCGGTGCCTGTGGTTGCTACAGTGGAGGAAGGAGGATCCTTCGCTGGGGATGTGGTGGATGAGGCGGTGGTCGTGGGTGCTGGGGTGGACCCAGCTGTGGAGTGGGGTGTTGTGGTGGATGGAACAAAGGAGACATTCTCAGTGTGCGTGGTCCCGACACTGCTGGCAGATGTGGAAGAGGGGAAGGCAGATGTGGCTGAAAGGCCTGTGGTGAGGGTAGTTGTGGGGATGTTCTCAGTCCTGGTGAGAGTAGTTCTCACAGTTGGAGTGGAGGTAGCGAGGGAGGTTGTTTCTGTCCTCTGGACGGTGGGGTGGGATGAGACAATATTCGTGGCTGTTGTTGGCTTGTTCGTGATGGTGTGTGTTGAGGTGAGATCCGTCACTGTGGCAGGTGAACCAGTGGAACCCACAGATGACAGGGAGATAGTTGTTGGTGTTGTGCTAGGGCTGTGTGTAATGAGTGATGTCGGAGTCGTGGTTGTGGAGGTGACCAGGGTACTTGAGATCATGGGAACTGAAGTGACGGCAGTTGTGGAAGTGCTGGCTGTGGAGTCGGTGTTTGAAGAAGTGAAGCTGGGCTTCCCCTGTGAGGAGGTCACGGTGTCCATCGTCACTGAGTTTGTGCTTGGGGTTTTGGCGGTTTCCGAGGTGGAGAGAGAGGGAGAGGTGGGTGTGAGGGAAATGGCGGTGCTTGATGTATCTGTCATGGTGGTGGGACGTGTCACCTTAGTTGTGAATGTCACGACAGATATCATGGGAGAATGGGGGTAGGTGGTCTCAGATGTCGGAGAGGACCTGGGGTGGGTGGTCGGGAGGGTGGTCGCCAAGGTGGACAGAGGGGTGGTGTGTATGCGAGCACTGGTGGACAGTTCTGTACTTGGGACCGCTGTAGGCAATGGAATCCCATTGGTGGGGGATGTGACAGCGTGGGTGGTTGTGGGAGAAATCATGGTGGTTTTCCTTGAAGTCACTTGATCGGTGGGAGTGATGGAAGAAGTGATGTGGGGAGGAGAAGAAATTTCTGTGATGAGAGATGCTGTGAAGAATTCAGTGGTAGGAGTCAGTGTGGTTTTCTCAGGGGACGTGGCACCTGGGCTGGTGAAGGTCGTCTGGCCGGTGCCTGTGGTTGCTACAGTGGAGGAAGGAGGATCCTTCGCTGGGGATGTGGTGAATGAGGTGAGGGTTGTGGGTGCCAGGGTGGACCCAGCTGTGGAGTGGGGTGTTGTGGTGGGTGGAACAAAGGAGACACTCTCAGTGGACGTAGTCCCGACACTGCTGGCAGATGTGGAAGAGGGGAAGGCAGATGTGGCTGAAAGGCCTGTGGTGAGAGTAGTTGTTGGGATGTTCTCAGTCCTGGTGAGAGTAGTTCTCACAGTTGGAGTGGAGGTAACGAGGGAGGTTGTTTCTGTCCTCTGGATGGTGGGGTGGGATGAGACGATATTCGTGGCTGTTGTTCGCTGGCTGGGGACGGTGTGTGTGGAGGTGAGATCCCTCATTGTAGCAGGTGAACCAGTGGAACCCACAGATGACAGGGAGATAGTTGTTGGTGTTGTGCTAGGGCTGTGTGTAATGAGTGATGTCGGAGTCGTGGTTGTGGAGGTGACCAGGGTACTTGAGATCATGGGAACTGAAGTGACGGCAGTTGTGGAAGTGCTGGCTGTGGAGTCGGTGTTTGAAGAGGTGAAGCTGGGGGTGCCGTGTGAAGAGGTCACAGTGGCGGTGGTTACCAAGCTGGGGGTAGGAGTCTCGGCTGCTTCTGAGGTGGGTGTGGAGCGAGACGTGGGTGTGTGAGAAATGGCAGTGCTTGATGTGTCTGTCATGGTGGTGGGACGTGTCACCTCAGTTGTGAATGTCGTGACAGAAATCGTGGGAGAATGGGGGTAGGTGGTCTCAGATGTCGAGGAGGACCTGGGGTGGGTGGTCGGGAGGGTGGTCGCCAAGGTGGACACAGGGGTGGTGTGTATGGGAGCACTGGTGACCGGTTCTGTACTTGGGACCGCTGTAGAGGATGGAATCCCATCGGTGGGGGATGTGACAGCGTGGGTGCTTGCGGGAGAAATCATGGTGGTTGTCCCCGAAGTCACAGGATCGGTGAGAGTGATGGAAGAAGTGACGCGGGGAGGAGAAGTAATTTCTGTGGTGAGAGATTCTGTGGAAAATTCGGTGGTAGGAGTCGGTATGGTTTTCTCAGGGGACGTGGCAACCGGGCTGGTGAAGGTCATCTGGTCGGTGCTTGTGGTTGGTTCGGTGGAGGAAGGAGGTTCCGTCGCTGGGGATGTGGTGAATGAGGGGGTGGTCGTGGGTGCCGGGGTGGGCCCAGGCGTGGAATGGGGTGTTGTGGTGGGTGGAACAAAGGAGACATTCTCAGTGGGCGTGGTCCCGACACTACTGGCAGATGTGGAAGAGGGGAAGGCAGATGTGGCTGAAAGGCCTGTGGTGAGGGTAGTTGTTGGGATGTTCTCAGTCCTGGTGAGAGTAGTTCTCACAGTTGGAGTGGAGGTAACGAGGGAGGTTGTTTCTGTCCTCTGGATGGTGGGGTGGGATGAGACGATATTCGTGGCTGTTGTTCGCTGGCTGGGGATGGTGTGTGTGGAGGTGAGATCCCTCATTGTAGCAGGTGAACTAGTGGAGTCCACAGTTGTTGGTGTTGTGGTAGGGATGTGTGTAATGAGTGATGTCGGAGTCGTGGTTGTGGAAGTGACCAGGGTACTGGAGGTCATGGGAACGGAGGTGACAGCAGTTGTGAAAGTGCTGACTGTGGGGTTGATGCTTGAAGAGGTGAAGCTGGGAGTGCTGGGTGAAGAGGTCACAGTGGCGGTTGTTAACAAGCTGGGGGTAGGAGTCTGGGCTGCTTCTGAAGTGGGTGGGGAGCGAGAGGTGGGTGTCAGAGAAATGGCGGTGCTAGAAGTATCTGTCATAGTGGAGGGGCCTGTCACCTCAGTTGTGAATGTCGCGACAGAAATCGTGGGAGAATGGGGGTAGGTGGTCTCAGATGTCGAGGAGGACCTGGGGTGGGTGGTCGGGAGGGTGGTCGCCAAGGTGGACACAGGGGTGGTGTGTATGGGAGCACTGGTGACCGGTTCTGTACTTGGGACCGCTGTAGACGATGGAATCCCATTGTTGGGGGATGTGACAGCGTGGGTGGTTGTGGGAGAAATCATGGTGGTTGTCCCCGAAGTCACAGGATCGGTGGGAGTGATGGAAGAAGTGATGTGGGGAGGAGAAGTAATTTCTGTGGTGAGAGATTCTGTGGTAAATTCGATGGTAGGAGTTGGTGTGGTTTTCTCAGGGGACGTGGCCCCCAGGCTGGTGAAGGTCGTCTGGCCGGTGCCTGTGGTTGCTACAGTGGAGGAAGAAGGATCCATCGCTGGGGATGTTGTGAATGAGGTGGTGGTCGTAGGTGCCGGGGTGGACCCAGCTGTGGAGTGTGGTGTTATGGTGGGTGGAACAGAGGAGATACTCTCAGTGGGCGTGGACCTGACACTGCTGGCAAATGTGGAAGAGAGGAATGCATATGTGGCTGAAAGGCCTGTGGTGAGGGTAGTTGTTGGGATGTTCTCAGTCCTGGTGAGATTAGTTCTCACAGTCGGAGTGGTTGTAACGAGGGAGGCTGTTTCTGTACTCTGGACGGTGGGGTGGGATGAGACAATATTCGTGGCTGTTGTTGGCTTGTTGGGGACGGTGTGTGTGAGGTGAGATCCGTCACTGTAGCAGGTGAACCAGTGGAGCCCACAGATGACAGGGTTGTGGTTGTTGGTGTTGTGGTAGGGACGTGTGTAATGAGTGATGTCGGAGTCGTGGTTGTGGAGGTGACCAGGGTACTTGAGATCATGGGAACTGAAGTGACGGCAGTTGTGGAAGTGCTGGCTGTGGAGTCGGTGTTTGAAGAGGTGAAGCTGGGGGTGCCATGTGAAGAGGTCACAGTGGCGGTGGTTACCAAGTTGGTGGTAGGAGTCTGGGCTGTTTCTGAGGTGGATGTGGAGTGAGAGGTGGGTGTGAGAGAAATGGCGGTGCTAGAGGTATCTATCATAGTGGATGGGCGTGTCACCTCAGTTGTGAATGTCGTGACAGAAATCGTGGGAGAATGGGGGTAGGTGGTCTCAGATGTCGGAGAGGACCTGGCGTGGGTGGTCGGGAGGGTGGTCGCCAAGGTAGACAGAGGGGTGGTGTGTATGGGAGCACTGGTGGCCAGTTCTGTACTTGGGACCGCTGTAGACGATGGAATCCCATTGGTGGGGGATGTGACAGCATGGGTGGTTGTGGGAGAAACCATGGTGGTTGTCCTCGAAGTCGCTGAATCAGTGATGGAAGAAGTAATGTGGGGAGGAGAAGAGATTTCTGTGGTGAGAGATTCTGTGAGAAATTCAGTGGTACGAGTCAGTGTGGTTTTCTCAGGGGACGTGGTCCCCTGGCTGGTGTAGGTCGTCTGGCCGGTACCTGTGGTTGGCAGGGTGGAGGAAGAGGGTTCCACCCCTGGGGATGTTGTGGGTGAGGTGGTGGTTGTGGGTGCAGGAGTGGACCCAGAGGTGGAGTGGTATGTACTGGTGGACGGAACAAAGGAGATACTCCCAGTGGGTGTGGTCCTGTCACTGCTGGCAGATGTTGTAGAGGGGAATGCAGATGTGGCTGAAATTTCTGGAGTGAGGCTACTTGTGGGATTGTTTTCAGTACTTGTGAGAGTAGTTCTCACAGTGGGAACTGTAGTGGAGGTTGTGGTAACAAGGGAGGTTGCTTCCGTGTTCTGGAGGGTGTGATCAGATGAAATGATATTTGTGGATGTTGCTGACATCCTGGAGACTGTGGATATTGAGGTGAAGTTTGTCCCTGTAGTCAGTGATCCAGTGGCGCCCACAGATGAGGGCTTAATCGTCGTTGGGTTCGGGGTAGGGCTGTCTGTACTGGCGGAAGCCATGGTGAGAGTTGTGAATGTCTCCACCGTCCTTAAGGTTGTAGGAGACGTAGCCGGGGCAGGCGTGGATGTGTTAGTTGTGGAGGTGACGTGTGAAGGTGTCGAAGACAGGCGCGTGCTTGTGGGTGTGGTTATGACATTGTTGGTCTTTGGAGGAGAGATGGTGGGGGTTGAAGAAATCTCTGTACTGGTGAGTGTGACTAATGACGTGACCGGGAAAGTGGATGTAGTTTCCGTGGTGAGAGTTCCCCTGGGAGTGTCACTCACGGGAGTGGAGGTCGTTTTCCCAGAGCTCATCGTGACGGTCATTGTCACGATTGGCTCGCCTGGTCGAGTGGTTGCCTCCGTAGAAGCAGAAGGGACAAGTGCTGTAGGCGGCGTTAGAGCCTCGGTGGAGGCGGGGGAGGGGGTGGCGGAGGTCTCTGTCTGAAATGTGCTGCTGGTTTTAGGAAAGGAAGGTGTGACCGTGGCCGGTGTGGTGGACGTGCTCCTGGTGGCGGGTGAGAAGGTGCTGTCAGTTGCTGTGCTTGAGAAGGTGTGCGTGGTAGCTAGAGAAGGAGGAGTAGCAGAGGTGGGAGTCATTCCCGGGGTGGGGGGCTTGGTCGTATGGACACATGCCGTGGTCGGGGGAGTCCTCCTTGTGGTTCCAGTTGTAGAGGAGGTGTCGGTGTGCGGGGTTGTGTCTGCGGCTGAGACAGAGGAGGGGGGTGGAGCCGTCGCGGTGGGAGTTTCCCGCACGGTGGTAGAGGGAGAAGAGGTCATGGGCGAGGTGACTTTCTGGGTAGCGGTACTAGGGTGAGTACTGGTGACGGTTGTCTCTGGCCTCTGTGTCATGGGGGTGGGGGTGTAGGAGCTGGTAAAGGACACCTGGGTCACGGTCACACAGGTGGTGGTGGGGTAGGAGGTGGTGATTATAAAACTCGTTGGACGCACGCACTCAGTGGTGGCCGTATAGACAAAGACAGTCGGTGGAGTGGTTTCAACCTTGAAAGCAAACTTGGACGGTGGGGTTGTGGAGGTGTCAGAGCCGACTGGAGACGAGATGGGTTTCACATGGTGGGAGGTGGTCAGGGGCGTGGGTGTGTTTTCCCTGCGGCCAGGAGTGGGAGAAGCGGGCTGGGGGCCACCCAGTGGCCACCCTGCCATGCCTTTGGGGCTCAGGGAGTCAGTGAGTGCAGCGCGGGTTCCTTCCACCCTGGGAAAAAGCGCGTGAGAGACGGGTGTGGCCGTGGACACAGTTCCTGCATTGGTGGCAGAACAGAGGAATCCACCGGTGAATCTGTGGGTCTTCCTGTCACATCACACCACGCAGGTTACTGACGACCCCGTTTTCCAGACACGCATCACAGAGGGCAGGCTGAGTCCCAGCTCACAGCCCCAGCAAGGTAGTTTAGAGCTGGAGACTTGGGAGTTCTGGAGCCCACCGTCTATCTACGCCCCGGGAGGACCCTTCACCCTCGGCCTGGCTGGGGGTCTGGGCCCCTCCCCTCCGCGCCCATGCCCCTCCCACCCTCCGCTCCTTCCTCTCCTCCTGCTGCTGCTGGAGTCCTCCCTCCACTCCTACTCTCTGCTCCCAACCCTGGCTGGGCTGACCCTCCTTTTCCGAGAGAGAGAGAGAGAGAGAGAGAGAGAGAGAGAGAGAGAGAGAGAGAGAGAGAGAGAGAGAGAGAGAGAGACAGCGAACCCGGCCAAGTCCCAGCACAGGCACACCATGGAAACGAGGAGACAAGGGGTTTCTACATAGAAGACACCGAAGGGAAAAAGAGACTGATCTCAGACTTTACTGAGACTGAGGAACGTGGAAGGAGGACCGCACTGAGAGTCTGAGAGAGGACAGAGCAGGAAAACTTCCAGAAAGAGCTACCTCAACAGGCAGGCATGCGTTCCAGAGACCTTACAGCTTAGCGGTGGGTGTTCATCACAAAAGTAGGCATATTTAGCATGACTCGCCTGGTCCAGCCACTGGGTCAATTAGTTTACGGGCACGAACCCCTTCATTCTGCAGCTATCAGCCCATTTCGCAGATGGCGGGACTGAGGACCAGCAGACT